TACATACATACATGCATACATACATGCATTCACACATGCATGCATTGCATACATACATACATACATACATACATACATACATACACACATACATACATACATACATACATACATACATACATACATACATACATACACACATACATACATACATACATACATACATACATACATACATACATATAGGGTACGAGTACATGTCAGTGTATGTAGTGCATGTGTATGCTCTTGCGTACGGTGTGAGTGTATGTTAGATAGCTTACTATAAGTCTTGTACAATTCCACTATACGAAGTGCAAGTGTTAGTGCGTGTGATGTTTGTATATGCCATTGTGTTTGAGTGTTTTCATTTACCGATTCTCTGTGTTGAATAATAATGGATGTGTGCAAGCAGTGCGTATGTGTATGCCAGTGTGTATAAGTGTGTTTATATTACAATTCTCTTCGTTGAATATGAATGTTAGAGTATATGCTGTGCACGTCTGTGCATGCAAGCTAGTGCTTTTACCTGGGTTTCCCTGTTGTGACCTAGGGTGATAATGCTCACACAATGGTTTGTGCCAGTGTGTCTGAGTGTTCACTTAGCGACTCCTGTCGTTAATATGCATGGTAGTGTGCATGCTGCGAGTGTCTATATTATATGAAGTTAGTTTGTTTACGATCTCTGTATTCAAGTTGTATGATTATATATTTGCTGTGAGTATGTAGGAGTTCCTGTGTTTCGTGGGAACGTGAGTGTAACTGTTACAAACGATACTCAAGCGCCCTGGCATATACCTTAGCTGCAAGCGCAAGTTTGGACAGCAGCACAGTTTACCACGCACGCACACGTACGCAATCTATGAAGACGGCGTACCTTCGGTGATGGCTATGCAGAAGGCCTCGGTCAACGAGGTATTCAAGAAGATGTGGCCCCGATTCAGGAGGGCTTTCACCTGCAGCAGGAAACACAGATGTGCGGGAGATGTTTTTATTTAAATATATACTACGCACTGCTACTCTCCTTAAACCGGGGCTTTGTCAGTAGTCTAATGGATGTAACTCGTCGAGTGTCTTCAGTACTGAGCTAGATACTTTGTCGAAAGCTTGAATTTAAGCGAGGGCTGAAGACTCGATTTTAACTGTGCGTGTACGTCTTATATTTAGACGCGGCTTCATTTATTTTGCAATACACGTTGATGTGCTCCAAGCATCAAACCATGTGAGAACAACAATGCCAACGCTCCGCTCAAAGTGTATCATGCACATTTACTAGAAAACCGCATACCCCACCATCATATGTGAACGATGCACTCAATACACGAACTACTATATTTTGAAAGCCATTCTGATAGGACTACTATATTGAGAAAAGTTTTGGTACTCACTCCAAAAAAGTGTCAAAATCCGTAAAGCATATGCGTACCTGAAGGGAAGAAACTCATTCACGCCAATACGTATGCCCACACCTTCACACAGTGCTCTCACAGATTTCATGTAGCGAGTTTGTACCAATCATACACATTGATCTTATCACGGGAACAAAAGCAGACGTCCCTGGCGGTACTGCGGTTTCAAATATGAGACATAACAACACCCCACAAGCAAGCGCTTAGCCAAGAGTAGACAGCTCACCTGTGCCTGTGTTTGCATGCCCAACATCTCCACACGGTCATCCAGCTGGTTCCGTTCGCGGACTTCCTCTAGAAGCACTCTTTTGTCGCCGTCGCCTCCTATCAGAAACTCGATTTCCGGGAAATCGGCACACACCTGAGAGCAGATTCATCGCGGTGCATGAGTAGATTAACATTTGTGAAAAGTCAGCACACATTTGCGGATTGTTCCGTTTTGGCAGTTGTTCAGTATAGCACTCGTGAGAATTCAGCATACATCCAAGGTACGATTGCAGTCTGCAGTGGTGCATGGTCCGATGGGTATATTAGGGACGTCAGCTCATTTTGAGGACTAATCTCCACTGGCAACTGATTATATTGGCACATGTTTGGGACTAATACATATCTGAAAGTGAATTTGCTATGATTTACCATTAAATTCGCAAATATGACGAGCCGACAGCAAACACGTACTGATAAGACTGAAATATGCGGGAATTAACACACACCCTGACAGTATTTGACTAGAATAGATTTTGAAGTGGGTAATCTGATAGACCAGTTTAAAGTTGAGGAAACATTGTCTAGTGTTAAAAAGTGAAGGCTCTAACGTGACAAGCCCATCCGTGTATAGAAAGATGGTCGTACCTGCAAACTTCTTCATGAGCAAGATCTACAATGCTAGTGCAGCATCTAATGGGGTGTGAACACGCATGAAAGTCTGAGATGTAACGAGTACAGTTCTGAATACTACAAATCAATTATTCGTGAGCTGGAAGAACTCTTCTGTACCGGGTCCCTGATCCAAGTCCTTAGATTGTAACAAGTACCGGATGCAAATAAGGGTGAGAGACAAGAAAAGCTACGCTTCTTTTTATGTTCCAAATACCATAATCGTACCCAATATTCCATCCTGATGTATAGACAAAATCGCACACATAGCATGCTACTGTGCAGCGGTAGAGGTTAGCTCTGATAAACGTGGAATCGTCAATGCACTCTCGCACAAAAAAGATCGAAGACACTTGCATTCATCACATCGAGCAGAAAGAAATGTTGTACTTTCCATGTAAGCCGGGGCTATCCGCGTGTGGGAACGAACGGCTTGACAAATTCAATTCTTGGAGCTCTACGAGGGGACCAACAAGTATTTATCGTCTAAAAGTACAGATTGTCAGCAATGACTAATCCGCCTTCACATAAGCATGTACATTACGACATGCTATAGTACAGAGACACCCGGAGACAACGTAAAAATCGAGATCTGAACAAACGGACTATACCACAAAGAAATGGTAAAGCTAAACAACTCCGTTGCGAACATAGCCCCCTAAATACAGTGAGACTCAATATAGTTGCCGTCAGAAGAACAGGCGCGCCCATAGTATCAGCTGTGCGAGAATATTCTAAACACAGAGATTTAAGTCACATAATCTCTTCCAAATAACTTCTAAGCACACTGACAACTTGATACGGGTATCCCATTTGGCTTAGACTTACACACCCACGGTAATAGCTCAGCCAGAAGATTGATGCCCTTCCGATACCAAAACTCTGAGTCTCATTGTTTCTGCCAAGAAAACTTCAAGCACACACAACAGTGTGATACGCGTACCCCGTCTAGCTTAAACTCCATTATCATTGCTCGTAGCATATACACACCCGCGGTATTAGCTCAGCCAAAAGATCGATGCCCTTCCGATATACCAGGCGGCTGATAACCACTATACTGATGCGATCGGACTTGCGGGTTGTCGTGTCAGGCACGAAGACATTAGTATCTACAGCATTTGGAATGGTGGACACTTGCGTTGGGGATATGCCCGCCCTAAGCACGGTGTTCTCCTTGGAGGTGTGTGACACGCATATGACATGGCTCACATCGCACATGGTGAACTGCAGTACCTGCAAATGTGCGCCAGTAGGAGGTTTGTGATGGCCGCACATGCACGAAATAAACAGATATATGCTCGTCACATGGCCAATTGCAGCACGCGACCAGTTTCTGACTGTCACAGGTGTGGCATATAAACTAATCCCACAGCTCACCCCGCCTCAGACGTCTAGTACGATGGCATGATAACAATTCGGGGGTGTTTGCCGGGTGCCTCTCGAGTGAGAAACACTGTGTAGTCGAGAAACATGGATGAAACTGCATTAACAGCAATTAGAATGATGTAGTGCAAACAGCCAAGTACACACCGCTTATCGCACTTGTTAGTGGCACACGAATATAAACTTAGCTGTTGCCGCAATTTTTTTGTATTAGTACCGTATCATCCGCACACCGTTACGGTCGCGATTGTGAATGAAGTTGGGCAGGTACAAAAAGAGAAAGATGCATTTATATGCACAGAGAATCATAGAAAATCGATCCTAGTTGCGTGTTTAGTAATAAGCAATGGAATACCTTGTTGACCAGTATACTGGAGATATCATTGAAGCCGAATAGCGAATGATCGGTAAACACCGCCGGCAGTCCCATAGTGCGCGCGTGGAGGATACCCTCGGTGGATATAACAGAGAACGCCTACGTGGAATAGTGATGTAGATTCAGAAATACGTTATATAGTTTATGAGTGCTGGGAACATATGAAAACCCATTGTATGATTCAGGCGATCGTAGTACTCTGGGTGATGTTATCCAGGAGTTATATCAAGGTTTAGACATATACAAACAAGGCTTTGAGATATAGCTAGCACAGTACCGCAATACAAACGCCATAGTAACCATTGAGGGAACTCCCCATTTCAACAGCGATCGATAAGGATCCGTGTGTGCGCACCACGTGAAAGTGTCCTTCTGGCACATCTACAGTGCACGTACAGAGTATACACAAAAGTATGATAAATTTAAACTAAAATACATGAATACACGAACATGTAACCAGAATGTATGATAAAATTATACTACAAAACATGAATACACGAACATATAACCAGAATGTATGATTTAAACTAAAAAAATTGAATACACGAACATAAAACCAGAATGTATGATTTAAACTAAAAAAAATTGAATACACGAACATATAACCAGAATGTATGATAAAATTTAGACTAAAAAACATGAATACACGAACATATAACCAGAATGTATGATAAATCTTAACTAAAAAACATGAATACACGAACATATAACCATGCATCGAATACAACCCAACCGATACAATTGATATCAGGTCCTGCCTATTTGCTTTTCTGTGACTGTGATAGTGGGCGAAAAACACTCGCAAAGTCTACACTTGTATATATGCGGTATTTTTGCGGAGATGTGCTATGCGTGACCTTACATCGAGTAATGTAAAAAGGTTAACGCAAGGTTTAAGCAAGCTTGTACTTTGGCAACAGATTCAGTGAAAAATGCTGCCAATCGTGCAATGAACTTTTGGAGAATCAAACACAGCGAAAAATAGTGCTACATATATGTTTCGAGTATCCGAATATGTGCTGGTGCTCAATGATGTAGATGCTTTTCTATACGAGTGCTGCACAGATACTGATACACTTACGGTGTGCCCGTGCACGATCGTGACCTTCTCACGGCGATAGATGTAGCGGAACAACGGCAGGGTGGTGTGAATAGTCGGTAGAGTGGACGTACGCGCCATCACCTGTCGAGCAGAGCACATAAACGTAGCCAGCGATAATAAGTTGGAATGTGCCAGCAATGATGGCAAGGAAGTTTTCAATCGCAACAACTATATCCGAGTCATGTTGCTCGGGCCCAAGTGAGGTTCGAAGTATACAATGCATGTTTATCGAGTTTTTCTGTGCTATCTGACAGGATTGAAAGTTTCTTTACACACATGCCATTTTCGAGGAAGTGTCAGCGGACGCACAAATTAATACTGTGTCTGACAGGATTCCTTGCATATCTAATGCGTGCATACGGGACCTGCGCTTTTCCACATATTTAGTCTTGAGAGTAGACACTGAAAACTGATTCAGATCTCGAGCAACTTAACACAGCAAATGTAACCCCCAGCAGTGTACTAGCACAGCCCACCCCTTGAATGCAAGGAACACATTTTCAAGCCATTGGTCGGGTAGTCCATACCCAGGGAACTGGAACACATTGAAATCTCGAGCAGTAACACACAACACACCCTAACATACAACACATGTAAGCCTCAGTAGTATACTAGGCGCACCTTGTTCGGCATATTATACACCCAGACCACCAGTTGGTTAAAGCGCTTGGGACCACTATGGTGTACCGGTATATTGTGCAGTATCGTATATCATTTGTGTATCCCAGCAGCATACTAACACCAACTTCGTGCCAATAGTCAAGTAGAGCACAGTCAGGCCATGGTTGCTGTATGAGTAAGTGATGACCACCACTGTACGCCCGTGCCTGAGTAAATACTTAACCACAGTTATTCATACTGTACATATTAATATATGCAAGTATATACAAACCTTGTTTGGCAGGTAGTACACCTTCAGACCATTGGTCACGTAGCGCACTCCCAGGCGATGGTTGCCGTAGGAGTGGGTGATGACCACCACCTTGTGCCCGTGTCTCAGTAGACACTGCGACAACTGGTAGATGGCACTCTCAACGCCCCCGACATTAGGGTAGAAGAAGTCAGAGACCATGCTGCACAAAGTGGTAATGATTTTATTTCATTAAATGGATATTGGATTGCCTACTCAGCCTCATTTTGGTGCAGTGGACTTGATATTGAGCTGATCATGATTTCATGTACTGGACATCGAACATGTGCGCAGCCGTTTACAGCGGCTTTGACAATATAGGTATTCACACTGAAATGTCGCTTAATGCGTCTATGATGTGTATACATACAGTAGCAGTGTCGTGAACATATGCGTCAACATCAGCATTACTTAAATTTACAACTGCTGATGCTTCATGGACAGACTATCCAATTCGCAACTTGGTACGAGTATAAGAGTTGTATTGATCCGATCCAGATCGTGATCACGAACACGCCACACATTGGAAACAGTTCGAATCACATACACACGTGCTATCGTAAACAGTACTGTATGGGAGAGATAGGTCGTTTGGGGCATGAGATGCGACTCGGCAGTCGATTATTAATATTCATACACTACAACCACAGAAATTAGGAATAAAAATGTCACTTTGAGTTTTATGACCGGCGTAGACTAGTATGCAATTAAAATTGTAGGCGTGCTTAAACGAAAG